AGAGAGAGATCGAAAGAGAAAGAGAGTGTGTGTGTCCTGGTAGAATAGGTGGGTCTATGCTTAGGACAATAGGTGGGCTTTCAAAGATCTCGCCGTTTATGGAGGGGCTTGTTTTCGCTTGCCTGAAAGTCAGGTGATGAAGCAGAGAAGTACTCAAACACGTTTCTCTCCCCCTCTCTCTCGCTCCTTCCCCTTTCCTCTCTCTCACTGCAGGTGATCAAAGAAGAGAAACATCTGCAAGGAGCGGAAGATACTGTTGGGATCTCGCTTCTTAGATTTTTGTTTGTTTTCCCTACTATTTTTTCATCTTTTTTTTGGAATCGATTATTATTATTATCATTTTATTTATTTATTTTTTTTTTAAAAAAAAAGCACGACAACATCTCTCTGTATAGAAACTCACCGCCTACCTTCCCGTTGAAAGTCTGCCCAGCTTTGGGGAGGAGGAAGAGAGACAGTCCCGCACCGAGAGAGCGCGATGGAGGTGACTACCGACCAGCCGCGGTGGGTCAGCCACCATCACCCCGCGGTGCTGAATGGGCAGCATCCGGACTCCCACCACCCAGGGCTCGGCCATTCCTACATGGATCCAACTCAGTACCCGCTGGCCGAGGAGGTGGATGTACTTTTTAACATCGACGGACAAGGGAATCACGTCCCTTCCTATTATAGCAACTCGGTCCGAGCCACGGTGCAGAGGTACCCGCCGGCCCATCACGGTGAGTTCTCCCCTACCTTGCCCTGGTGTGGGGACCCCCGCCAGCTGCTCTCAGGTTGACAGCGGGCAGGTTTTCGCGCCGGAAACAGGACTGCGTTTGTGTGTCTCATTTTATAAACTGCTCATTTAAAGCATTATAAGCAATAGGGGCAGGCAACCAGTAGCTGTTAGCAACTAACAAGGGCGCCTTGAATTAATCCCAGGAACACTGTCATCTGCAAAATGTGTTGCGTAAAACGCATGCATGGCCTTTTGGTATGGGCCTATTACTAGCTATATATTATAGATAAATCCTGCGAGAAGCAGCAAGATCGTATTTATTTCTCCAACCAACCAATACCATAAAAATCCCAACCACGTTGTTACCGGGGGCAAGACTATGCCACCGCTGAATTTTTGAGTTGGCTTGTCCCAAATAAGTGCTAAAGAAAAAGTAGTCGATGCAAGTCTTCCCCCCCCCCTCAACAGTTAAACTCCATTTGGATTTGTTTTTTAATTTTATTTTGCCTTTACATTACAATTCTTTGGAGCATTATCAGTGAATATTAGGGGAGGGGAGGGGGAAGAGATGGAATAGTGATATATGTGTGTATTCACGGCTGGGATGTTAAATTCACCCTGGATGGGAAAATAATACATTTGATATTAAAGCCTAGCTTTCTAAGCTTGTGCCGCATGATAGTGTGTTTTATATATTACTGTACATATACTTATACATCTCGTGTTGCGTTATGATACACCACATACATGTAATTATGTATGTAGCCGTATATAATGTGATTTTACGATCTATATCATAATTCAAACACATAGCCTCCTACACAGCTATGCCGAGGAGACACATGTACTGTTTTTACGGGGCCTAAATACATTTCAGGATGAATCTTCTCCTGCCCCCTGTTTAAAAAGAATAATTCAAGCGATTCAGCCTGTAGCGCTGGAGTTTTCTTTAGGATTAAAGAGCAGGGCATAACCTCGGGAGCCTGGGAGCGCTCCCACTCTGCAGAAGCCCTAGGTTTGAAATAAATTAGAAAAAAAAACCATCCTAAAATAAAACAAAATGGAATGGAAAGGGATGGATCGTTTGGGCATCGGAGCTAGTCCGGATTCACTGATCTGCGCACAGGACCTCACCTACTTGTTGAGTGAGCTGCTAAACATGACTCGCTGTTCAGTAAATGCATTGTTCTGCTTTTAGAGTCTGTAAAATAATGATTGCTAAGGATCAGCAGCTTTTATCCTCTCCCCCCCCCGCCCCAATTTATCAGCAGAAAGTGGAAATGCGGTCTCTCGGATGTAGCCTGAATATTATTTACTACGTTACTTCCTGGATAAGATAATGAATTTTGACCCTTCGTGTTCATTTAACCCACCTCCCCTTCCTTTAGCATATTGACTTTCAGTATTGTTCACAAATGGCTAACATGATAAGACACATGCATAGAGATCATATAGAGAGAGAGAGACTATATATCATTCTAGCTAGCTATTTGTGTCTCTAAATATCTGTATCTATTTCGATCTCTGTAGCTTTCTATATTTAGAATGATCACAATAGATTTGAATGCCTCCGTAGAGATCAATATATCGTTAGAAATATCACAAGAAGCACAATTTGGCTGCGCTCCTCGGATTCAATATGTTTTCCGTCATAAGATATTTTTTTAAAAATGTCAATTTCATTAAGTTTTTTTTCTTTTCTTTTTCTTTTTTGGCAGTCACATAAAAGGATAAAATGGTCAAAGTCAACTGCAAAAATCCAGTGCAATATTAGGAAGTCTAGCTGTATATTTTAAGATAAGGTTTGAAGATATCTAATGTAAAGATCTTTTGAGACCAGTGACACTTTGTGTGTGTGATATTGTCCTTATAAAGCTGTCTGGGTCAAACACACACAAGTCCATGTGCGAAAACAGACTAATGGTGAAAAAAAAAAGTTATTAACACATCAGTGTCTTCTCCTGGCTCTCTTCTTGTGGACAGAATATCGCCGTGTCTCGTAGTTCATGGTTACTTAAGTGCAGGGAATGAAGAACCCAATAATAGCTCAAAACTAGCAAGAATGGATTCTCCTCGGAGGGTTTGCCGTTTCATGTGGGATCTTCACTGGAGAGGCCTTGTACGATTGATTGGAGAGGGAAATTTAATAAAGGCTTGACAAATCCATAAGTAATATCCGAAGATTTGACTCCCTTTTGCCCTCCAGCCAACCACACCTGAGCACCACTCTGGGCCTCGATCCGATAATAGCTTTTACTTATAGCCTCTTGCTTTTAGGCATAAAGCTGATGCCAAACGGACTGGGGTGGGGACGGGGACTACAGTTCAGGATCGGGGCTCTAAGCTCAGTTTTGCTCAGGCCAGCGGGTTCATAGCTCTTGATTCCCTGGCTGCTGCACTTTTCTCTCCTGGTTTGACACCCGTGAGCAGAGCGCTGTGCGAGCTATTTCTTGAGGTTAGCACCAGGAGGGCTGAGATGGGTGACGAAGAGAGCTCGCCTGGGGGTCCTGCATGTGCTGGCCCATCCCTGAGGGAGTGTAACCTGGCCTGCTTCTGTTCTCTCCTAGCAGGGAGCCAGGTGTGTCGCCCACCGCTTCTCCACGGATCTCTCCCTTGGCTGGACGGGAGCAAACCCCTAGGGGGCCACCACAGTGCGTCTCCTTGGAACCTGAGTCCCTTCTCCAAGACCTCGATCCATCACAGCTCTCCGGGACCCCTCTCCGTCTACCCGCCGGCTTCCTCCTCCGCTTTATCAGCCGGCCACTCCAGTCCGCACCTTTTCACCTTCCCTCCGACCCCTCCCAAAGATGTCTCCCCGGATCCCTCCATCTCCACCCCGGGATCCACCGGCTCCAGCCGGCAGGACGAGAAGGAATGCATCAAGTACCAGGTGTCCCTGGCTGACACCATGAAGTTGGAGTCCTCTCACTCCCGCAGCACCATGGCATCGCTAGGAGGGGCCTCCTCTTCCGCTCACCACCCCATCACCACCTACCCGCCCTACGTCCCAGAATATGGCTCTGGACTCTTCCCCCCCAGCAGCCTCCTCGGGGGCTCGCCTACCGGGTTTGGGTGCAAATCAAGACCAAAAGCACGCTCCAGTACAGGTAGGGTTCTTGGATTATTAACCCCCGGGGTAGGGAGGGGAAATATGGAGAGGCCCTGAACCTACATGATCAAGGCTCAGCCCTGTGCGCAGGCCTGCAGACACGCTCCTTCTCTCAAACTCAGCCCCTGGAGAAGGTGTTTTCAATCTCCTCCGGGGCATATTATATTGGCCTCCCTACGGGCCAGATCAGCCCCCTTCCCACCACAAGAAACACTGAGCTAGGAGAGGAGGGTGAGAAGCCATGTGCAACAGGACTTTGTAATAAAACAAAGGTGTGTGTGTGAAGGGGAGGGGACGGGACATCACAGCTGCCCTGCCACACAGTCGGGGGTAAAGGCTGTAAAAAGTCCCAGCCGAAGTTTGCATCCCGAGATTAATTCGAGGGCAGCGAATCCACCTACCAGTTTGTCTACATGAATCTGGTTGATGCCCTGGCCCTTCCTTGCTTCCAGCAAGGAGGAGAACCAGAAGGTATTGTACCAGTCCCTTTTGCAGCCCCCAATCCACCCCAAAGCTGCTAAAACCAGGGGCTCTGTAACTGGTGTGCTTGAAGTGGCCTGGGACAACAGGGGACTTCAGCTTTATTTTTTTTCCCGGGGAGCTGTCACAGAACCCCGACGGGTATATATCGGTCCAGTGACTTACTGGGCAAAGAGGCAAACAGAGCAGCTCGGATTTATCCACCCCAAAGAGCCCACTTCCCAGTCTCATCCCCCCCCAGCCCAGACGCCAGTTTGTAGCAGCGTTGGGAAAGCGTTCTGCAAAGGGAGTTTTGTTTAGACTGTGCGGCTGGGGTCTGACTCCCAAAGATTTCATGAGCCGGACTTTGAAAACCAATATAGTCCATGCTCTCTCCCTCTGTGGGCAGCAGGGGACGATTAGTCAAAGCTCCCACCCCCCTTCGGTGGAGGCTGCTGCAGGGCTGCCTGGCATGAACGCGATCAGTTTTCAGGGTTTTTCCAGGGTGACATTTACTCTGACTGTCTGGGCAGGGACTGTCTCTATTTAGCTGATATGTTCGAGCTAATCCAATTATTTTCAGACTGCTGCACGCGACAGTTGCATTGTTTATCCAACGCCAGGAACTTTAATAGGGTCCGGATGCGGTTAGAGTGACAAAAAACCCCAGACCTGCATGTTCTGTACATGAAAGCAGACGGGGGGTGTGTGAGAGAGAGAGAGAGAGAAAGAGAGACATGGAGTGAAACAAAAGAGAGGGAAACAGAATAGAACAGTAAGAGGAACTTACTGGTGATGTCCAGTGTTAAGGGGAACAAACTGATCAGTGTATCGAGGGGGAAGGAAAACAAATGAACGCTGAAGGGAACCAAGTCCGGTGCATTCTTGTCTTGATTTTAGACAGTCCATGCGCCTCCTACCTTTTCTGAAAGGCGAGCCCCCAGCCCTAAGACCCGGAGCGGCAGCTCAGGAAAGAGGGTGCCCAGGAGATGGTAGAGAGGTGGCGTTTGCAGCAGCAGCCGTGCCGCAAACCGCCTCTCCGGTGTGTGCGCCCGGCCAGTCATTTCCAAAGCTGCTTCTTGTTGTTGTTGGCTTGTTTGTATTTTGTTTCCCTGCTGCCACTCTCTTGTTACTTCTAGAAAGACAGCTGCGGTTTGCAGCACCAAAAGCAGCGCCGGCTTTGTGGTGGGGTTGCCATTTCAACCTCAGCTAGCTGGGAAGCCGGGGAGGTGGGTGGGCAAAGGGACTGGAGGTGTCGCAGGTGAAGGAGGGAGAAACGGCTGCTACCTTTGTGGGGTTTTGCTGTTTGCAAATGCTCTACAACAGGCCGACCAGGCGGCAGCGTTTTGGAAAAACGGTTGAAGTTTGTGGTTAGGGTGCGGATGCCTCTTTTTTCTCTCTCTTCTTCTTCTTTAATGCACGGATTGTAATGGGCCCCAAAGGCACGGTGTGAATCAAATAAACCGGCAGCATCTCCTCGCTGCGCCAGCGGCCCCCAGTCCAGCTGGCTGCTCAGGGAGTGAGTGTTAGTGCAGCGGGGTAGGGGGGGAGAGGGGAGCCCTTTGCAAGCGGCTGCTGCCATGTTTAAGGTTGTCACGCTGTGGTTCTTGTCACCCGGGTGCCTACACAGAGCGAGCCACCCCCCCTGGCTCCCGCATCCCATTCCCCCTGCAGCGGGGCAAACCGCGGAGCGCAACGCTTCCCCCCACGGCTGGGCCCGGCCGGGGGCCACGGGCTCGAACCAGGCTCGGGAGGCGGCGGATTGTTTGTCTGGAACGTGGCGACGCGGCCTTAGAACGCGGTGTAGCCAGGCAGGAGCGCGAGTTAATTACCCTGGGGCGCGCTAGGCGCGATCAGATCCTAACAGGCGCGCCCTGGCTGTGGGCTTGCCTGAGCCGAGCTCTCGGCGGGCGCCTTATGGGGATCTGAACCCCGCAGCCCTTTTCCCAGGGGCAGACCCCCCTTCACACACACCCCCCAAGGGCGGGCTAGCGCCTGCCCCTTTCTGGCTCTGTTGTTAGGATGGCAGGATCGGGCCCCTACTTTCTGATTAACCCGAAGCGTTTCGTTTTGAAATCGAAGGCTTTTAAAGCAGTCTGGGGCTCAGCTCGCAAGCAGCTCTGAGGTTTACAAACGAGCTCTTCTTTTCTTTCAAAGAACGAATGGAAATGAATTGTTTCAGTGCGGGAGGATGGGTCCTGTGCTGTTAGTGGCTGGGTTGGTTCAACAAAGCCCTTAGCACAAAAACCACTCCTGTGACTGTAGCAAAAAACCATATATTTCCTGTTCCCAAATGCCTAAAAGTAAGCTTTGGGCCATAACCCTTCTATGTGCAGTGATCAACTTTGAGCATCCTCGTTTTTGCTCTCTGAGCACATTTATTAGTTTGCAGGCGATCATCTTTAACCAAACTAATAAGCATAATCACCAGGATATTTTATTATTGAAAGCTCTGGGGATGTGTGGTTAGATTTAAAAATGGTTTGTCTGAACCAAAGCCAGGAGCAAAGCCTAATGTTTGTTGTCACAATTTCAGCCTGACTTTAGCTAGGTGCGGATAAAGGAGGCAAGGGAGACTATAGGCCAGGGCAATATGAAAGGTATTGCTTATTTAGGTTAAACAAATGGCAGTAATACGGGATCAGAATTAAAATAGGAGACAGCTGACAATCTCTTTCCCTCCCTGCTTGAGAAAGAAAGGAATTGGGAAGCAGGTTGATAAGAAGGAGAGAAAACAAAATATTTTAAAGCCACAGCACTGGCCCCATATGTGCATTGCAGGGTCCCCTAAGTATCTCTGTTGGAAGACTTAATTAAAAGCCTCATCAACAGAGGAGAGTGACAAAGCACCTCTGTGGGTGAGGCACCGAATCTGAGTTTGTTTTCGGTTTGTTTTCCACCAGTCGAGTGAAATACGGTCCCTGTTAATTGAATACGCCAGTAATCGACCGAATCTCTCTCTTCACTGAACCGGTTGCTGATGCTTTTGCTTTGCTGCTTGACTTAAAAGAAAACACAGCCCTCTAGGAACGCCTCATAGGCAGCGCAGGGGCTGGGCTAGGGCTTTCATTCAGACTTTAAAGATCGATTGGTGTTGTCAAGCCAAATCGATGCGATTTGGCCGATGCCCTAACTCATTGGAATATACCAAAAACTTCTGACCTGCCCGCCGAGGCCAGGGATAGAGGGAGTTAGGAATTCTATGGAGCCTTTATTCAAAGTGTCTTTGCTGGCAGGACTAGCTTCATTAGTTTCAATGGAACCGCTCCCTAGGTAAGGGCTACTAATGTGAGGAAGGGTTACAGGCCGGGCCCCCTGTGGTTTGATCGCCTGTGGATATTAGTGTGTGGGAGAAGCAGTCCCATGTAACTCATTGCAGCTGGTGCTAGCCAGTCCTACAGGATCAGGCCCTTCTTTATTTTCCTTGCTAACTGTAATGATCTCTGCGCAGGCTAGTGAACGGTTTCCAGCAGCGCAGACAAAACAAGCAAGGGGCTGATCCTGCCTCCACCGATGGGGAGGGCGGGGAAGGATCGGGCCCCTAAAGCTTTGGGATTGTGGTTTGTTTGGCCACCAGAACGACAACGTGTGTGTGAAATAATGAACAAACAGCCCTGCCCAAAGCGATGGCTAGGGCTTTGCAGAGGGCCTGGGGGAAGGCGATGCTTGGGGGAGAGGGAGCTGAGCTAGATCAGAGGCCTTTCACACTTGTCCCCCCCCCCCCCCCCGCATTGCTTTCCATAAGTGAACTATGTGCCCTCTTGTTTCCAGAAGGCAGGGAGTGTGTAAACTGTGGCGCTACCTCAACCCCCCTGTGGAGGAGAGATGGCACCGGGCATTATCTGTGTAACGCCTGTGGACTCTATCACAAAATGAACGGGCAGAACCGGCCCCTGATTAAGCCCAAGAGAAGGCTGGTAAGTCCCTTTCCGGAGCTTCGAGCCAGACAGCACTAACTTTCTGTCGTTGTTGTGTTTGATTTCCTCAGCCCAGGATGGCGAGCTTTCTGCAGGGAAAGGGCAGGAGAGCCCACAGACATGTCAGTCTGTACTGAAGAGGGGTTTTAAAGTACGAGCTATAGAGAGACTCTCAGCCCATCCCCCACATTACACTGTGCCTGCCAAGTTACGTACCATTTTTTTTTTTATATTTGTGCCTTTACAAATCTCTATCTATAGGAATTACTTTAAGGGATGCTGATTTTCTTACCTGGGTCTTGGGTGGGGAATAGCGGCTGGAGGAGAAGTGTGGCAGAGCACAAGGTCTGAGAGGCCTCACCTCGACAGGGGGGGGTTTTTGAACCCGGTTTTTTTTTTTAAATTTGAAACCCTCGTGGGGGAAATTTGTGCGTTTCTTTCTCCTCCACCCAAGAGGGATTACAGGGACAGCTGGGTTTTAAAGGAACACAGGGACTTATCCTTTCCTTCCCTCCCTTTCTGAACTCAAAAGAGTTTCCAAGTTTATTTATTGCGGTATTTAGGATGGAGCATGTCGCCCACTATGGTCAACTTCTGCTGATTGGACGACAGATCGCCTTGGTAACTGGCACTGATAGATCAGAGATTCCTAGAGTCTAAGGCTGGAAGGGGCCATAGCGACCATCTAGTCTGACCTCCTGGAAAACACAGGCCAGTGAACGTCCCCAAAAGAAGTCCCAGGGCAAATCTTTTAGAAAAAACAACCGCTCTTGATTTAAAAATTGTCAGTGATGGAGAATCCTCCACGACCCTGCATAAATTGGGCCCCAGTCTCACAAAGGATTGCACCCATGCTTAAATTTGGGCCCCATCCTCCATCGCCCTGGCATAGTCATTTGCATCAGTGCAACGTGGGTGTAAAATGCTACCGTTCCGGTCTGGTAGGAGTTTTACACCCACGGGTGTAAACGAGGACGCAGGGTGTAGGGCAGAACCTGTGAGTAATGGCACAGAAGTGAATGGTGTGTGTAAAATTAAGCATGTGCCTCAGCCCCCTCAGAGGGCACCTAAATAAATGCCTCATTCCATTAAATAATGGTTTCAGATCTTGTAACTGTAATACACATCATATGTTTAGCATCCCCAGTGATCTATCTGTGAATTTCCTGGGAAGCCACAAAAAGTCTGGAAGGCATGGCTAATGATCATGCAAGCAACAAGACCGGGGGGTGGGGGTGGGGTGTGAGAAGTGGGACAAAACTGTGTTCCCTCCCTGGGAAGTGACTGCATGTTTAGAATGAAGGAACATTTAGTCTCATTATTATTATTAAAAATGCTGACAGTATGCTGGCTGCTGTTCAAAACACAGAGGAAAGTGTGATTCCTGCCCCATGGTACTTAACAGCAGAATTAACCGACAGAATAATACAACTCCCCTTAAAGCCCAGATCCTGCAAACACTTAGGCCTCTATCCTGCAAATCATGCTTAACTTTATGCACAGCGAGTAAGCCAATGGGTCTTTGCAGGGCATGTGCGTAGTTTTGCTCAAGTGACTAGTCCCATTGATTCCACTGGGATTATTCACATGAGTAGAGTTACGCACGCACCTACGGCCCCAGTCCTGCAAACACTAAGGCCTTGTGTACACTTATCGGGGGTTCGACATGTGGCGATCGAGGCATCGGTGGTCAATTTAGTGGGTCTAGTGAAGACCAGCTAAAGTGACTGCAGATCGTTCTCCTATCGACTCCTGTACGAGAAGCGCAAGGGGAGTCGACAGGAGAGTGTCTCCAGTCGACATGGCGTAGGGTGGACCCCGCAGTAAATAGATCTAAGTACGTCGACTTCAGCTACATTACTCACATAACTGAAGTTGCGTAACTTAGATTGATCTCCCTTCCATAGTGTAGACAAGGCCTGAGGCGCCTGCTTAACTTTATGCCTGTGACTCGTCCCATTGAAGTGAATAGGACTATTCACATATGCAAATGCTACATCTTTTTTGGGATCAAGTTCTAAATGACCAGAGGAAAGATAACACTGCAAGGAGAAATGCTGTTGTCTTCGACTGGACATGTAGGTTTGGGGACGGAGGGGTAAGTTCCCTGGCACATCCTCCTCTCTCTTTCAAATGCTGCACAGTACAGGCAATACTGCTCCACTACTTACAATGAACGTTTCCCTTAAAAGAAACTGTTGGTCCTACTTAACGGAGTCTCTTTCCTGCCCTTATTAGAAAAAGGAAAAACTTTCTAGGGAGGGAAGTGCTTGTAGGCTTTTGATTTTGGGAAGCTCTAGCCTTCATGCCCCTCCCCCCCTCCATTCCCCTGTCTTAAACACACACCCATTTTTCTGTCTTTATTATTTTTTTTTCTTTCTCTCTTCATGTGTAAAGCTAACTTCCTAGGAAAAAGCTGCCGGATATCTGAGCACTGGAGATAACCCATAAACAACAGCTCCGCTTCCCCAACCCAAACACTGAGGAGTTTGAATGTATTAGAAGGAGAAGGGGCTTGAAAAAAACCCTCATACAAAACCCCAGGCAGCTGCAAGGTGTGCTCTCAAAGCAAGTGTGATTGCACATCAAAGAATGCTCTGAATCACCCCAAAGCTTCACTTACAAAAAA